TACTAGTAACTGATATTAACAAAATTAAAAGTAAGAGTTAAAAAATTTTGAGAACTAGATAGTATTTGAAAATGTGTCTAGTAAATCATTACTGTAAATATATTGCATTATTAGAACAGGAATCTCATACTAGAGTTTAGAAAACTAAGGTTTTTAATTCCTCACATTTAGTTCATCAATGTCACATTTCTTATTGTGTTACTTAATTTCAATTATAAATTTTTACATATGACTATAGTAGTGTACTTTATTCATAATTCTTTAAATTATACATGTCGACTAGGATCCTGAAAAGACCACAAAATTCTCTTAGCAGTATAAACCTTTCTTTGAAAGATAATATTGCTGTATCCAGTAGAGAAAAACAAAAACTTGATTTGAAACTACATTTTAGATAAGAGATGAGCTGGTGTGGGATTCATAATTCACAGTTGAAATGAATGTTACTCTTTTTCTCTTTCTTTTCATTTTCTAGGTTGGAGTAATTGCCATCGGGTTTAGAGATCGAAAAATTCACTTGGTATCAACAGTATATATATTTTGTCAATGTCTCTTTTTTTTTTTGAAAGATCTTATTGGTGCCTTTGTTTCCAAAGGCATCATGTATCATGAGTTTTGGTGCCTGCATCATATCGCTTAAAAGATTAACTTACATAAAACATTATGCCAAATTATAACTTGGAAAAGTAAATTTAAAAGTAGATATTTTCTAAAGTGTACTTTTGGCTTGCATTCTAGAAACTATATTCTTATATCATCAGCAATTTTCTAAAGAGTATTGCATACAGCCTTTACTGTATATTTAGGGGCATGACAGCAAACTCAACCTTTCTATTACATATTTGGCAAAAGTTCCAAATTTGTATTTGGTAAATGTATCCTCAATATGTTCTAGGATATTGTGGGAATTAAAAAATAGTTATATATCTCTTGGATGACATGGAAGTTCGCTGGTATCAAAAGAGGATTTTGCTACATTGCTCATTATAGAATGGTCTAGAATGTTTTAGAGGATCTTCTGTTTCATTCTGCTATGTATTCCATACAAATTTGTACCATGGTCATATATCGCATCCACTCGAATTATTATTTTTTTTCATTTTTTAAAAATTATTTTCACCTAGAGTTAGTTTAGCTCTTTCGGGCAGACAAAAACAAACAAACCCAGCTAATGCCTACTTACTGTATTCAGCACAATATTTATTATATGGTAGGTCCTCAAAAAATTGTATCTATAATTATCCAATTATAAAAACTTCATATTCTGATTCATTATATGTTGAAAATTAATTTTTCATGTATTTTTCTGCCCTGGGGCTCACTGCTATCCTATTGTTTAAAATCAAAATCCCTAATTGCCATTTAAGACACACTCTATAAATTCTTTTCTGGCTTAAGTTTCGTTTAATTTCCCTGTGGAATCCCACCCAGTTTTACTCTTTTTATCAAGCCATTTCCTAAATAAGTCCAATACTTTCCCACCTTTAGGTCTTTGCTCATCTTATTTTATCCTCCTAGAATATACCCTATGGTCTCTTCCTGTCAAACTCCAACCTATCATAAAATGCTTACTAAAAGAGGTATTTTCTCTGTAAAATCTCTTCTAATAGCATAATTAGGAACAGGCTCTTCTTTAAACTTACAGTTCTTTATATAAACCATTCTTATGGCATTCTATCTTGTAGGTAATCATGTACTTGAAAATTATTATACAATGTATCTGATTAAGGGCATACATAATGGTGATTTTTTTAAAAAAAAATTCTACACTCACGGTTACTTGATAGATATTTGTAGAGTTAACTTAAATCAATCTAAATCAAAGATCAGCAAATATGGGAAGAGCTACTTTAGACTGGAAAGCCTTGATCCTTCTTGGAACTCACAGTAGATATTTGTTCAATGAATATTTGTTTCGAATGTTTTCTTTGTGCCAGACGATGTATTAGCATTGAAGTTTGCATTTGAATTGAGAAGACAATAAACAGGAACCTAGAGGAACTGCCCCTCACAGGATCAGAAATTTGAAACAGGAAAAGTTTGGGGACTACTCTTGATGAGAGGAGAGATTTTAAAAGAAGTAAACTTCATGGGGAAATGGCATCAATGAATGAGAGCATTAGAGGCAATAGGAAAATCTAGGGAGACTGGGTGTAGACTCCATAGGAGAGCCAAAGATTAATATGTCAAATTACAGTAAGAATTAGAACCACTTAAAAAACCAGTTAGTAAATGCATTTTTAGACAACTTAGGGTTAAGAATTGGACTACCTGGAGCCAGATCTGTTGAAGCTTCCAGTTGAGATAAAAGTCAATATCAGGTCAATATAGAATTGCCAAAAGCCATGAAAAATGCAAAGTATCTTTACTAGAGTTGTAGAATTTATGAGTAGGACTGAGAGGACAGTGCATGATCATGGGGTTTATCTCTAAACAAACAGAAGAAGCAGATTTAAGAGGGTGACTAAGATTACCTCCAACTATAGGAATTCTTCCAATCCTAATATACCTCATGGTAGGAAAGGAACTATGCAATGCCTACTTTTCCACTTCAAATGGAGATGAAAAATGTGACTGAAGCTGGATAATCTACAGGCTTATTATCCACCAAGTCAATCTGTGCTTAGACTTTCTGAGAAATCTAAGCTCTGTAAAACTTTTACACTTTTAATTTTAGCCTTGAGAACAGGAAACTTGAAAGCACATAGGGATTTTCACGAGGAAGAAAAATAAGATTTTGTGAGATCCAAGGATGTAAAACAAAAACCAATATAAGAAATTATAGAGAACCAGAGGGTAGGGGGGAGGAAAGAGGGTGGAGATGGACAGGGTAAAGGGGGTCAACTATGTGGTGACAAGAAAAAAATCTAACTATGGGAGGTGAACGCACAGTGTTAATATATATATATGCCTTATTGTTAAAATGTACAGCTGAAACTTATTGGATTTTGTTAAGCAATGTCACCATTAAAAAAATAAATTAAAATGAAAGAAATTATAGGGAGATAGCTTTTAGTTCGTTAACAGTAGAATATCTAGATTGGTTCTGGTTCTGGATCAAATGAAGTAAGCATAATCACTCTGTTCCTCCCACTGAATGTAGCTATAAAACTTGGACAGAAAGCAAGGAGCAGCCATTCAAGGCTTCTGAAAAGTAAATAGAAGCAGTTTGGGGAGGAAGACCAGAATTAGAAGTACTGTTGGTGGTTGGTTTACCCCTTTTTATTCTGTCTCTAGTATCCCCTGTCCTAGACTCAAGGCAGCCTGACACCCAGAAGTGGGGCACTGTCATCTGTAGATGGGGCTTCAAGAGGAACCATCTAGTTCGGACTTGAAGAGTGAGAAAGGGATCTCCTGTTGGTCACAATGGCCACCTAAAACTGCGGGAGGGCCCCTTCTGCTCCAGTCAGAGGACCTATTGTCCTTAGAAGGCAGAATGAACCCCTGTTGATTTTTTTCTCTCCTGCCTTTCTGCTACCTGGGCTTAGACATGGGTGCAGTCAGGAAAACGTGGTTCAGAGTGGGGTAAATAAAGCCTCAGCCTTCTGGCCAAAGAGGAGAAGTATGTGGGAGATTTAGGAGAGGGAGGAGCTCAGGAAAATGACCCAGTAAAGTTGTTTTTGAACTCCTGGGCTCACCCCTGAGCCACGTATGGGTGGAAATGATCCCAAACACCAAACTAAAGACTTTGAGAACTGAACTATGAGAGAAACCACTTTCCAAAATGCCACACTGGACACTGGGTGTAACACTTGTGATAAACCTGTTTGCCTCCTCGATAGTAATTTCGTCACTTATATCAATTCTGACAATCGTAGCAACCGCATATAATACTTACAAAAGCAAGACGTTGCCACATTACATAAAAATTATAATTTCATGTGCCTTTATCACTACCGAAATCCATATCTGAACCCATGTAGAAAATATTCACACATATTTAAGTGAATGGACCTGGCTGAGAGGAAGTTGCACTTCCCACTCTTGAAATAAAAAGGGAGCCAGCAAGCAAGGGCACAATGAAAGCCCCTCACAACGCCATCCCCAAGGGAGGAGGCTTACACCCTGCCTAGCCAGAGGGGTGAGCAGACAGAGTATTCAGTTTCATAGGGATTCTGTTAAAAGGATAAAAATGATAATATTCTTGGAAAAACTTTGTATATGGCAAAGTTCTATACACATGTAAAGTCTCTAGCATTCAAAGGGTGAGTCATTTTATACATTTGAGTATAACATTGCCTGTTTTCACTCATTGAATGAAACTGGTAAAAGGAATAATCAAAGTCCTTGGGCATAAAAAAAAAAAAGTAAACAAAAGAAAGAATTACTTTCAAAACCTGAACAAAAACCAGAAATGGAAGCTAGAGTTGAAATTAATGAATACTAATGCTTCACTGATTTCATGTAAAACATCTCAAAAGATAGAGTTTTTAGTGTCTCTTGGAGAAATGAAGGACCATCTAGAGCTTCTTTTTTTTTTTTTTTAAGATCATTCATTAAATCATAGAGCTTGAAGGGATTTTAGAGAGCATCTAGTGGTTATCATCTCAGATCCCCATATCTCAAGATTATGAATGGAGTTTTCAAGGTAATTTTAATATTTCGAAAGCCCCAACATATGTGATACATTTTCCTGGGATAATTTTGTACATGCATTATTATTATTATTAGTTTATTTTTTGTTTATTCAAAAGATAAAGTTAGGCTGATAGAAGTTTTCAAAACATGAAAGATGGAGGCAATATACATAAGAATAGTTAAAAGAGCAGGTCTGAATTCATGCAGATTTAGATTCAAACCTTGGCTCAGCCACTGTCTGGTTTTGTACTCTTGGGTAATTTAATTAAACTTTCTAAGTCTTGGTTACTTTATCTGTAAAATGGGGATGATAATATTATTTCTCTCTCATAGAGGAGTTGTGGAGATTGAATGAGATAATACATGAACAGTGTTTAACATGTTGTCTAACCCTTTAGTAGCTTCGTTTTGTTTTGTTTTAAAACCTACAGCACCTGGTCTTCTTAGGTGGTCTCCCATCCCACTACTAACTAGGCCTGACCCTGCTTAGCTTCCGAGATCAGATGAGATCAGGTGTGTTCAGGGTGGCATGGCCGTAGACCCTTTATTAGCTTTAAAAATATTCCTTCAGGGTTCATTGAGGAAGCACCGTAAAATCTGTATGGTGCAGAGAATGTTGAGAGCTACTGATTTTATTCAAACTAACTTCCAATACAAATATTTAGTCCCATTGTTTTATTTTCCAGCTTTATTGACATGTAATCGACAGGTAAAAATTCTATGTATTTCAGGTATATAACATGATGTTTCGATATACATATACATTGTGAAATGATTACCACAACAAAGCTAAAAAATATATTCATCGTCTCATAAAGTCACTTTTTTTGTTTGCGTGGTGAGAATACTTAAGATCTACTCAGAAAATTTTAAATATATAATACATTATTATCAACTGCAGTCACGTTGTACATTAGGTCTCTGGAATTTATTTGCATTATTCCTGAAAGCTTGTGCCCTTTGACCAACTTCCTGTTTCCATGACTCCCTGACCCTTGGGAACCACCCTTCTACTCTGTTTCTACGAGTTTAGCTTTTTTAGATTTCACACAGAAGCGGTGTCATACAGTATTTATTTTTTTGCACCTAGCTTATTTCAGTTAGCATAATCCCTCCAGGTCCAATTCACATTTTCACAAATGTCAAGATATCTTTTTTTTTTCCCTGCTGACTAATATTCCATTATATATATAATATATACAATATATATAATATGTATATATATACACACACACATATTTATTTTAATCCATTCATCTTTTTTAAAACTAAATTTATTGGGGTGACAGTTAATAAAATGATATAGGTCTCAAGTGTACAATTCAATAATACTTCGCATGTATATTAAACTGTGTGTTCACCACCCGAAGTTAAATTTCTTTCCATCACCATCTATTTGACCCCCTTTACCCTTATCTCCTTCCCCCATTCATCTGTTGATAGACACTTAGATTGATTCCATATCTTGGCTATTGTAAATAACGCTGCAATGAACATGGGAGTGCAGATATCTCTTTGAGATACCGATATCATTTTACACATTTTACTTAATATTCACAATTAAACTATAAAGGAGATACTACTATTATTCTCATTTTTCATATTAGGAAACTGAGAACCAATATGTGAGTAACTTACTCAAGGTTATCCAACTAGCAAGCAATGGAACCAAAATTTAAACCTATGCTGTTTTAATCTAAAGCAGGAATCAGCCAACTATAGCTTTCAGGCCGAATCTGCAGGCTGCTTGTTTTTGCAAATAATTTTTATAGGCGCACAGCCACACTTGTTCATTTTCCTATTGTCTGTGACTGCTTTCATGTTATGATAGCAGAATTGAGCAGTTGTGACAGACTGTATGGCTCACAAAGCCTAAAATAGATATTTTCTGGGACTTCACAGGAAAAATTTGTTGACCCCTGCTGTAGAGCTTAACCCTCTGTCCTGTACTGATTCTTCATATGAAAAAGACTATATTAAAATCTCAACATCAAACATTTTAAATGGTTGAATAATCAAACCGTGTTCATTAAATATCAGATGCTAGACGAGATACTGATCACCATGATTAGTCAACAGTTTTTGGAGATTCTAAATAACGCAGCGAGACAAAAAATAAAACAATTCATCTCAGATGATGTAATTTTACACCTAGAAAATGTAAAGAATTTTAATTCAAAACTACTATATTTATTAAGAGAATAGAAACATCTGGGGTGGGGCCTGAGATTTTTGCATAGGTACCAAGCTCCCAGATGACCTTGACTCTGCTGCTCTCCATGTCATACTTTGATTAGCAAGTCTATCCATTGTAAATGCAGTGTTTTGGGAGGTATTTCAATAATCATAGTAATGAAGAGGTGTGAGAATGATCAGGAGTGTTTGCTTTAAAAAAAAAAAGAAGAAGATCAAGGAAAGAATGAAAATGGAAAAGTAGGAAACCCTTTTGAGAACCTCCCGCGTGTCTGGTGTCAGGCTTGGCTCTTGCAGACGGGATCTCACTTAATTTCACCACAACTCTGAGATGCATGGTACCCTCATCGCATGTTTAAAATGAGGACGCTCAAGTCCATAACTTCTCCGAGATCACCCAGCTGGCAGGTTATATAGCAGGGGGAGCAAGATGACATTAATGACTCGAAAGGAAGCAATGCAGGTAAGTACTCAGTGATCGCAGACTGTGTTTTCAGCATGTTGCACCTGCTCCAGGCTCGGGGGCACAGGAGAGTGGCTTTGCCTCTGCCTTCTTTCTTCGTACCAGGTCTAGTGGAACAGAAAGATCAGACGGGCGTGATGCACTTCCACTACTTCTCAAAAGATATATATGTATATTTTAATCCATTCATCTGTTTCCGTGTAATTGGAGGAGGGTTGGGGAAGGTATGTGTATCAGAATATGGCTAAATTTAGCAAGTGACATGAGGCTGAGTTTTGAAGGATTTTTAGAATTTGTCTAGGTGTACGAAATTAACCTCTCCTCAGATGAGTTCAAACTGTATGTTTTTATTTATTTTTCAATTGCAGTTGACATACACTATTATATTAGTTTCCGGTGTATGACATAGTGATTAGATATTTATATAACTTACGAAGTGATCACCCCGATAAGTCTAGTACCCATCTGACATTATAGTTATTATAATATTATTGACCACGTTCCCTACGCTGTACTTTACATCCCTGTGACTATTTTTATAACTGCCAATTTGTACTTCTTAATCCCTTTACCCTTTTCGCCCATCCCCTTAGTCCTCCTCCCATCTGGTGACCATCAATTTGTTCTCTGTATCTCTGTATCTTGTTTCTGTTTTGCTTGTTTATTTTTTAAAACTCTTTGTCTTACTAAGCTCCCTCAAACTTGGAGCGTAAAAATTTAAGCAATAACTAAATATGTAGCTAAGTCTAGTAGCAATTAAACCAGTTTAGAATATCATATCCCCAATCTGTTGATGTTCAAACATTGACCTACAGGGGATGGTCAAGTTCAAAGCTAAGTTAGCCTCTTGGGGCTCTGTCGAAGAAAAACGGGCAGGGAATCGTTCAGAAATGAGATGAGGAGTGAGAGTTGAGAGGGAAACCAGGATTCTATCTGCGCAAATCCCAAAGGCCCACATTCTTCCCTTGAGAAGAGGCCACGGGGAGGGATTAACGGCATCTAGCTGTGAGCTTCCCTCAGTGCTGGGGGGCTTCTCAGAGATGCGGTCTCCATGGTTCCCGGGATAGTAAGAAGAAGATCCCAGCTTGGGCTGCACTCAGCCTCAGGGAAGTGGTTCCGGCCTCTCCAGGCAGCAGGTAAGGAGGGTAAAGGAACAACCAGGCTGACTGAGTTGTGGGGCATAGACCCTGGGGAATGGATCGGTGAACCCTGCTGACCTTGGAATTTCCTGATCCTGTGAGGCTTTTCCTGGCGTGGATGGAAACAATACTTAAACCTCTTGAAGCTACTCGAGTGACATTATTTATGCCAGGCATACTAACAACAAACAAGCCTTCAAAACAGACATTCCACTGCTGAGGGCAAGAGAAAGAGAAATCTGTCTCTCCCTAGAAATGTGACCGATTTCCTAGGTTGCCGGAGCGTGGTGAGAAAGAGTTGTCCACTCTCCCTGTAGGAACAGTACATGCTCTGTTGGGACATCCGGAAAATACAGTGTAATCTACTCCAAGTTACACACCCAATGTCTAGTTGATGGTAGATGCTCAAAAAATACTTGTCAAACGAGTGAATGCCTGGACAGCCTACTAATTTCATCCTGTGAGGGATGAGGGTAGAGGAGTATGCAAAGGTCATTACAGACCAGGAAGGGCTCTTCACATGAATATTCACCAGGCCCTCAGAGGCAGTACCAATACCCGTAAAAGAGACCCACCAGAGAAGATGCAACATGATCGAGGGTTTCTATTTCCTGCGTTAAGGAGAGACCTGGAGTTTCCCAGCACAACCTTCAAGTAGCAAGGAATGGTGCAGCAGCAAGAGCAGAATAAAGCCAAAATTGAAGAGAACATTTAACTACGACAAAGCTCACAGTATGTCATTTTTTATTCCACTGGGAAGACCCCAGAGGAGCAAATTTGGGAGCGCAGAGTGGAGAGATTTCTCATTCACACATCGATGACTTGGATGAAGACACAAAAGGCAAGAATAATTTTTTATTTGTATAATATATTTATCACGCTTTGAATGCTCCTAAATAAAGTGCTTTACAATAAAACTCTAGCTACAATGGTATCAACAGCAACTTGCACAGTACAGAAGGCAAAAAGTTAAATGGCAACAAAGATACTGGGGCTGAGGAATGCTAAGCAATTGAATATAAAATTTAGTATTGGGCTTCCTAGCAGCTAAGGCAAAAAGGGAAACATGAATTACATAGCTCTCACGGTCAAGTAGGATGACATATGTGTGTGCTCATTAAGAGAGAAATGTGTGTCTAGGCAAGGGTGTGGGGAATGCCTTAAGGACTCAAATGAATCTTTAAGGAATGTTGAACATCCCTTATATAAACAATGTGATTTTTTTTTTTATCGCAATGGAATTTGTTATACTTTTTAAGAGGTCTAGAGACATTCTGTACAGAGAGCCTTTTATTTTTAAACTTATTTGAAAACCGATTGATGTTTTAAAGAAAACTTTGAGGAATGTCGAAGGTAGTATGCTTGAAAGATGTGGCTTCCAGGAGCTATGGCCTGATGCACGGTTATAGCTTTGAGAAGGATACTCATTAAATTTGTAGACGACAGCGGGGAGAAATTTGTTGAGGTAAAGAATTAGAATTCTGCATAACATGTCAAAGGGCTAGAATGATGAGCTAAATCTAAAGGGCTGAATTTAAGAAGAGTTGATGGTAAAGAAAAAAGAGGAAGGAAAGAAGGAAGGAAGGAAGGAAGGAAGGAAGGAAGGAAGGAAGGAAGGAAGGAAGGAAGGAAGGAAGGAAAGAAGGAAGGGAATATACAGCAAAAACCACCAGCCCAAGTCGAGAGTGCAATATGTCTGGAAAAGAACAAACACATAAATAAATCCCTGATTTAGCACAGTCTTGGACTGCATAATTGCCAAGTACACAGATAGAGTGGCCATATCTAGGTGTCAATTCTGGTGCCAACAGTAAGTGGTTATCTAACTAGGGGGGTGTTATGAAAATTCAGTTTCCCTGCCTCTCAAATGGGAACTTTAAATCAGTAACATTTTTACAATTAAAAAAATAAATGTTCTTCACAGAAAATTTGAAATGTGAAGAAAAGCATTTTTCTCAAAAACGCCTTTAAGAGTTTATCGTTTCCCTTTAGACTGTCCACATAATTGGTATCATGCTATGCATGCAATTTTGCCTCTTCCTTTTCTTCATTTAACATTATGTTATTAGCACTTCCTCACTGTATTAAACGTTTTAATTATAAGTTTTAATGGCGATATAACATTTCATCATATCAATATACCTCAAGCGACAGGAATATGACCTTTTGTTAAGCATTCGTTTTGTTTCCTTATGATAATTATTATTAAAGCATCCTGCACATATCTTCATGCACGTGGCTCCATCTTCCAGGCTATGACGGAGAAGTCCAGGGTGTCACAGAGAGACGCTCGAGGGAGCTTACCTCAGTCCTGGAGGGTGAAGCTTCCTGTCCGAGGCCTGGAGAATGGGTCAGAGTTGCCCAGATCACATACGGGAGCGGGGAGAGCTCTGTGAGGTGAAGTAGCATAACTCTGGCCTTAATTGGGATTTGAATGGTGTACCAGGTGAGCCACTCAGCTGGCTCCTGGTCTTTATTCCCTTGCTTTGAGTGTGAGCTGAATCTAGTGACTTGCTTCTAATGCATAGAATCCGGCAAAAGTGATGGAGTATCACATCTGAGATTAATGACAAAAACACTCTATCTTCCACCATTTTCTGCCTTATTCTCTCTCTCTGTCCCGTCTGCTTGCTCTGATGGAAGCCAGCCACCATGTTGTGGGCTGCCCTATGGAGAGGCCCACATGGCAAGGAACTGAGGACAGCTTCTAGCCAACAGCCAGAGAGGAACAGAGGACTCCTCAGTCCAACAGCCCTTGAGGACTGAATCCTGCCAACGACCATGTGACTTTAGAAGCAGATCCTTCCCTAGTAAGCCTTGAAATGACTCGGTAGCCCCAGCCAACACCTTAATTGCAGTTTGTGAGAGAGAACTTGACACAGAGGCACCCAGCTAAGCTGTGCCTGGATTCCTGAATCACAAAAACTATAGGTAATAAATGTTTGCTGTTTCAAGCTTCGAGGTTTTAGGGCAATTTGTTACGCAGCCATAGATAACTCATACAGACTGTAGGGGGCAAAAACTACAAGTCAGGAAGTTTATTCTCCATCCTGGTTATTCTCCATCCTTCCTGAAGTGGGGAAGAATAGCCACAGGGGAATAGTAAGAATCTTTCCTTTAATTCTCTAGCTTCCCTTATCCCTTCCTACTGAACACCACACCCTGGGGACACTGCCTCAAGGTACACCAGCCAGAAAGTGGACTCACCGGTCCCACAACAGGCCCACAAGATGGGGTAAAAGCTCAATCATTTTCTCCAGTGGGAAAGAAATAAACTTGGAGGAGAGAGAGGGAAGTGGAGCCCCAAGTCCCAGGGTTCTGTCTTTGGTTTGTTTGTAAAGGTGAAATTAAGTGTTGGCTGACTTATAACCACAGTGCAAACACTTGTATTAATCCTGACTCTGTTTAACGGGGAAACAGCTACACTAAGACCTGGTGGGTGAGAAACTAAGTACCCCTGTGAGGCAGAGAAATGAAAACACATCAGAAATAAGAGGCTCCTTCCGAGCCTGGAACCGTAAGTCACTGTCCACCTGCATGGAGACCCTATAGTCCACTTGGGTTCAATACCAGAGACTTCCTCACCAGCCCAGGGACTCCCCTTGCCCAGGTCCCGCAGTTACTTTTTTCAGTTTCTTATACACAACTAGCAGGTGCAATCCAGACTTCTGCCTGCCGGGAAAGAGCAAATATTAACATGTTCATATTAAATTAGCAAAATAGGGTTCCTACCTACTAGGAGTTTTACAGAAGGCCTGAAGTCTCTAATAACTACCTTCGCATAGAACGCCATAATAAATGAACTCTGCTGATGCTTCTCTTCCTGAGTTTCTGGACTCCAATTTCAGTTCAGAGAGCTCTTTATACTCTTTTCACTGTTTCAAAAAGTAAGGGAAATCATATAGTCATTTCTGTGTGGCCACATAGGCTAACCGAAAGGTCATTTTTTTTCCTTCATGGAAACATTTTTTTTTCCCCCGTAGGAAACCAAATCCCATCCCCCGTCAGTTTTATTGAGGCATAAATGACATATAATATTGTTTTAGTTAAAGGTTCCCAACATAATGATATATATCTATATGTTGCAAAATAAGTTTCGTTAACATCCATCCCCTCACATAGTTACACTTTCTTTTTTTCCTTAGGAGAGATGTTAAGATCTATTCTCTTAACATCGTTCAGATATGTGAGACGGTGTTAACTGTGGTCGCCGTGTCTCACGTTAGATTGCCCGGACGCTTTCATCGATAACTGGAAGTCTGAGTCTCTTCACCTTCACTCATTTTGCCTCCCACTGTCAGCCCTGGCAGCCACCAGTCTGTTCTCTGTGCCCAGGAGTTTGAGGAAACCAGCTTTCTTATTACCCAGTAAATATATCGTGTTAAGGATGTGCCATCTTTTAAAATAAGAGATGCACAAATGAAAATAAAGAATAGATGGCACCCTTGATCTGGCAAAGTTCGGGCATCGTTAGTTCTGCTCAGCCCCCTTTTTTGAAACGTGAGCAAGTAGATTGTGTGATAGCTGATGGCTGTTCTGTGGCAGAAACTGCGTCTAGAACTTAGCCCTCCTGGCTACGCGTCAGCAACTGTTCTACTGTCCAATGACCACTCTTCCTTCATGGAAAGCCTGTCTTAAAAGGACAGATTCAATTTCTTGAATGTGTGGACAAAGGAAATGAGCAAGAAATAATGGTGGAATCTTCGGGGAGGAAAATTTTTGTTCTGTGTAACAAATAACTTTTAAACAACAGTTGGAACTGTGAAAAAAATTTAAATGGCAAAAAAAAAAAAAAAAAATTACCAGGTGTCCTATGGCATGCTAGGCCTTGTCTAATGTACCTTTATGGGTTATCTGATTTTATAATGGTCTTTGTCTCTTATGGTCTCGTAGCTATTTTACAATTCTGTAAATCGTAGAAAATTGAGAGAAATGCAAAAGATTCTTGTCCCCGGGGATGGGAATGAATTCTTTTCTGGTGGAGATGCGATTGATCTCCTACGGTCCTTCTCAGACTTGAACGTAAAGAGTTGCTCACATATCTGTCTCCTTGAGGAGAGCCTCTTTTCCTGAAACCCGGGGATCTAGGTATCCCACAAAAGTTTAAGAGAAGGAGGTGGATTGTATTTCTGGTTTATTCACCGTTTCCATATGTGACCACCAGGGGGCGCAGAAAGCCTTCTCTGTACTAAAGGTGGGACACTCCACCTAGCGAAGGCCCGCGGTAGAAGGAAGTGCTGGGGATTAGGGCTGAGAACCGCAGAGCTCGAACAGCCCCCACGGCGTACAGACCGTATCATTGTGACAGGCGATGAAGTCAGCGTGAAGCACGCGCTAAGATCGCAGAAGAGGGCAAAGGTCTGTTAGAATGACAGAAAATATTTACAGCCCTTTAACCTGAATGCATAGAACAGGTTCTTTTCCTGATTTGAGAATTGAATCTTCCGACCGTCGGTTCCATTTATTCAGCGCCACCCTCTGCTGGATATGTCATTTGTTTCCAAGGAGGACAAATCGAGAAGAGGGTAGAGAAGCTGGGGGTGGGAGGAGGAGAGGGAATAAAGCCGGGAGGGGCCTTGCGAAGAACCCATCCACCTTTCCAGAAGGTACAACCCACCTGGGAATCTCTACACCACGTAGGAAGTGACACCGGCTTAAGCTTTCCAATACAAATATCTTTATCTTCCCACCCCGCTCGTTACCTTAATCAGCCCTGCCTCCTCTGTCACAGCAAACTGTGGAGTGGGTATTATTTTTGATTTATAGATATAGAAACAGCCCCCTAGAGACACAGTGACTTTCTCAAAGTTATACAAATTGTTAGTGGCAGGTGCTCTGACTTAAGCATTGAACTGCTTGCTCGTCTCTGAAGGGTCCCGACCGCCGACGCCGTGAAATCTGAACTCCTCGTCCCGCCTCCTCTCGCCACTTCCTCTAAGGACACCCTCTTTCGGCGGCAGCCCGCAGTCCCTGCACTGCGCAAATTCCGTTAATGGGATGCCCTTCCCCTACGTGGTGGAGTTAGTTGCTCCCTCTCCCACCTGTTATAGCACAAATCACACGTAAGAGTTCTTTGTCTGCGGGACGTCGCCCCCGCCTGGCAAGGAACGAGTCTGTCGAGGGCTGGATCTCAGCCCAGGGCCTGGCACGGGTAGCGAATGGCTGTAGAGGGGAAGGATGGAATTGAGGTCAAACCGACCCGCTCGCTCTTCCTCGGCCCTGCGGCGTCATCGGCCAGAGCCCGGCCCTCTGCTTGGATTTCTCGGTTCCCTCCACGGTCCGGGAGCTAGGGCAGGTAGAGCGAGAGACGCCGAGGGGGCAGGCGGCGGCCCGGCACGGCCCCTTTAAGGAGGA